AGGCACATGACAAATTAATCAAGAATGTCACAGATGGAAAGGTTCTTCTCCCCAGTAGATTGTTATAAAATCTCTGTGTTTTGAGGCGTCTACCTCAAAACACAGAGCACTTTAATGCTGTACCCAGACTTCAAGTTCAGCCCTTACTTTCACTTTGCCTACAAAGTCCACTGAGTTTTCCTCAAAGTCATCTTACCAATGAAGGGAAGTTCTCACTCCTAAAAGGGGGGGGGGGGGGGCATCCATGAATGTTTGCATCTATGCATGTGGGTTCAATTGGTGGCTTCAGATGGGAACAAAATAAAGTTCAAAACTGTACGCCTTCATCACTTTCTTCTCTCAAATCAGCCAAAATCTGCCCAAGGACAGTTCAGAATGCCCTGAACCATCTCTAGTCTCAGGGAATAGTTGTGCCAGTACTCCTACAGGACAGGTTCAGAGGATTCTATTCCAACCTGTTTACGGTACCGAAACCCAACAGGGTATTCATCCTATGCTGGACATAAATATATAAACAAATACCTTCAAATTCCAAAAGCTGGCATACAATCTTCAAGGTCAGTTTATGCTTTTCTGAGACAAGGGTTATACTTGGCATCTGTAGACATCCCAGATGCCTATCTGCATATTTCAATTTATCTGCCTCATAAGCATTGTCTGCGCTTTGCAGAAGGAGACAATCAAATCGTAGCTATAACTTTTGGCTTATCCTCTGTTCCCAGAGTATTCAAAAGGTTCTCGCACTTCTTCCCCTTTCAATAACACAGGGCATCCAGTCACAAGTTTGTCTGGATGATCATCTGAAGGACTCAGGCCATTCCAGCTATCCAAAACATCCACAGAACCAGATGCTTCAGACTTTCAGTTGGGTGATCAGTTTCTAAAAATCCGCTCTCCAACCTTGTCTTTGTCTGGAACCTGATTCTGGACACATCCCAAGTAAAAGTCTTCCATTCAGAGAAAAAAAAAATCTCTTAGAACGGATTCTCAGGACTTGAGATCAAGAAGATGCCTCTCAGTGAGATTATCCATGACAATTCTTGATCTCGTGGTGGCCTCCTTCTAGTTTGTTTTATTCACCTAATTTTATTAGAGACCTCTCCTACACAACATTTTGTTGAACAAGCAGGCTCCTTGTCCAACCCATGCTTTTGTCCAACCAACCAATGATTTCCCTAAATTGGAGGATTTCCAGTCTAGCCTTAACAATGGGAGAGTCGCTTCTTCAATATAACTGAAAAGTGATAAGGACATATGCCAGTCTTTCCAGCTGAGGAGGAGTGTTACAATCCCTCACAGTTTAGGAAACATTGAAGGTAAGCTCCCCATCAACATCCTAGAGGATCCTGCACCACTAGACAATAGATATCGTGGCTTCCAGATTCAACAACTTACCTCTGTTTGTGGCCAGGATCAAGGATCCTTTATCAGTGCCATTCCTGGTCTCAGTTCAGGCTAATCTATGCCATTTCCACCAATGCAAATTCTGCCATGTTTACTCCACAAAATACTCGGACACAACCCCTGGTCTCTTTCCAACAGTTCAGAGCAATTCAGGGCCCTGTGTTCCATCCTGCTTCTCAGTCACTGGCTTTAATGGCATGGCTGTTGAAGCCCAGGTCATAAAGGACAGAGGGGACTCTGAGTCTGTCATTCCTACTAAAAACAAGAAAAGCCACTGCCAGAAAGATCTACTATTGTACCTGGAAATGCTTCTTTGCCTGGTGTGAACACAGGTACTCTAATCCCAGAGATTCTTCTGCACCTCACATTCTGGCCTCCCTACAATCAGGACTTGACCAAAACTTGGACTTAACACCCTGAATGGACATGTTTTGGCATTGTCCTTTCTTTTCCAAAAGCCTCTGGTCCTGCTGTCCTTTGTCAAAATCTTTTTTCAAGGTGTATCTTGGATCAGGCCCCCATACAGCATCCTGTGCTTCTTGAGGCCCTCAGTCTGGTTCTGTCTGTTCTGCAGAAATCACCCTTTGAACCCATAAGGGAAATCCTTATGAACTCTCTTGCAATGTAGCTGTCTTGGTTGCTATTACATCTATAAGCTGTGTCTCTGAGTCAGCATCTCTCTTTTATGTAGCCATGGGTCATTTTTAACAAAGACAAGGTAGTCTTACTCCAAAGATCTTTTTTTTTTCCTAAAGTGGTATCAGTTTTCCACCTCAATGAAAATGCAGTCCAACCATCTTAGTGTCCTTCAAGGAAATTGCTCTTCACCGCCTGGACATAGAGCCATCAGGGTCTGCCTGAAAGCAACAACTTCTTTTAGAAAGACAGATTCCTTTTACATGCGCACTCTAAGCAGTCACGGGATGAGGGGGCAAGAAAGATGGTTGATCCGCATTTTTGCCACCCACAAGAAAGTGGACATCGTGCTACTCAGATGGGTACTCATTGCTGCACTACAGTGCTTTGGAGACGGTGCAACAGTTTTAACGCAGCATGCAAAGTTTACCAGGAGGCAGCAGTATTACCCCCTGAACACCTACAGGCCTTCTTTCACCCTCCTCTTAAAAGCGATTGCTTTTCAAGGAGTGATAAACACTACCCCCAATGCAAATGGGTTTTTGCAACCCATTTTTTGAAAGGTAAAGAGCAGCCTCTTCACTGTTCTTTAGCTTCCAGTTGTATCCTGGTAACCTTTTGTCTAAGTAACCAGTAATGTGTTGTAAATGACTCAAAACCCTAAAACTGTTAGGCCTAATGAACCCTAAATAGCTTTAGGGCCCATACAGTATGTACTAGTACTGCTAAAACTATTATGACATTGTCAAGCATAGCCATTTCTTTCAAAAGCTGCAGTGCTCAAACATAAAGCAAAATACAGAAAAAGTAAATGTGTTTTCCCTGCTTTTCGGCAAGCACACCTTAATGGAACCTGCTGCATCCAAAGTAAGGCCCTGTTCACACCTATACAATTTGCTTTTTGTCTGTTTTGCAGTGTTTTTCACAGGTCGGTTTGCCTTTTTTCTACACACATTTTTGACGGGTTTTTACCGCGTTTTATTCTTTTTTTTGTTTGTTTTGTTAAAGTAGATTTTTTTTTGTTGCTGGGCAGAATAAAAAAAAAAAAAGTGTCAGAAAAGCACTACCATGCATTTCAGCAGCTTCTCCATTGAGCTCTATTGTAGCAAAACCGGTGCTTTTTGCTTTTAAAAAACTCCCTGACCCATTCCTAAAAAAAGCATAGATGTGAACATGTTCCATACAAAACCATGTTAAATGGACTGTAATGCGTTTCTGCAAAAAGCACTAATAAACTCATTGGTGTGAATGGAGCCTAAAGCAATGCAAAGTGAGTCAAGTGTAGCTTGTTAACTCGTCTAAACGTTGTAGAGAAAGATAGAAGACATACAGGGTATAAAGCATAGCATACTAAACTGAGTGCAAGCATATCGGATTCAATTTTTGCAAGGGACCAGAGGTTTTCCACGTACCAATCAGAGTGGGCCAAGTGTTGAAGCCAGACAGCTAAGGGTAAGGAGAAAATTGAATTGATCTGACAAAAGAGAGATTGTCAAGAAAGAGATACAGATGAGGAGAAAGGAAAACGTTTGGGCAAGTTACAATGTTTCCACATTTTACATGGTATTAAACCCAAAGAAAACATTTATTATATTGCAGCTTACCAATTCTTAGATGTGGCAGCTGCCTTAGTTTTTTAGGCTTTCTAATACAGTCATTTATGTTGAAAATTGCAAACAAAAAAGCAGTAACCATGTAAATGACACAAGCAAAAGCATAATGGTGTTCACATAAAATGGGTACATAAAGCAATGAGGTGTAAGCAATTGTCAACTATCAAAGGTCAGTAGAGTAGTGAATGTAGGGATTACAAAAGACCTAAAGTGGTACCCCATTCATAAAGAAGTTTGCTCTTCGCTGGCAACACTAAGCATCCCTTAAAGTGACCGCAAAAGAAAAAAAAGGGTGGGGGAGGCTTGGAAGTAAAAACACTTGCCCCGATAAGAGAAAGGAGGGGGGACCCCAGTGGACCCACCATTAGGCTTTAGCAGCCTCTACCGAGGCAGGGTACATGGAAAGCAAAGCACGGCTGATGGTAGTCTGAGTGTTATAATCTATACAAGGGCCCCAAACCTTGAGGTATTGGGGGGGGGGGTGTATCTTCCATGCCTGGGCATGAGCTTGATATGCGCCCAGAAACAGAAACCCCACCAACTTCCTCTGAGTCTTAGATAAAGATGAAATAGGTTCATTTAGTAGGGCTTCCCAGGGGTTGCTTTTTTAGGCTTCTTTGCCTTACTTTCACTTGGTGATCTGGCCAATGAGTCTGTTGTTTTTAAAAAGAACAAGCTCTTTTGCAGATGTAGCAGTTAAAGGGATGACAGAAACCATTTACCCCTAACAGAAGTGCTTACAATGATCAGATTTTATGTAAAACCTTTATTCCTAAAAACAAAAAATCCTTTTGCTTTAACCACTTGCCTGCTGGGCACTTTTACCCCCTTCCTGCCCAGGCCAATTTTCAGCTTTCAGCGCTGTCACACTTTGAATGACAATTGTGCGGTCATGCAACACTGTACCCAAACAACATTTTTATTGTTTTTTTGAGACAGAGCTTTCTTTTGGTGGTATTTAATCACTACTGGGTTTTTTATTTTTTGTTAAACAAACTAAAAAAGACTGAAAATTTTTGAAAAAAAAAAAGTTTTTTTCTTGGTTTCTGTTATAAAATTTTGTAAATAAGTAATTTTTTTCCTTCACTGATGTACACTAATGAGGCTTCAGTGATGGGCACTGATAGGCGGCACAGATAGGTGGCACTGATGGGCATGGACAGGCATCACTAGTGGGTATTGACAGGCATCACTGATGGGCACTGAAAGGCAGCACTCATATTGGGCACTTATAGGCGGCACTGATAGGTGGCACTGACTGACACTAATTGGCGGCCTTGATTGGAACTGTTAGGCGGCACTGACAGGCACTGATAGGCAGCACTAATATACAGCATTGACGTGCACTGATAGTTGGCACTGACTGACACTGATAGATGGCACTGATTGGCAGCACTGATAGGCGACACTGACTGGCACTGATAGGTGGCACTGACAGGCAGTTCTGATGGGCACTGATATGTGGCATTGATGGGCACTGGTAGGCACTGATATGTGGCATTGATGTGCACTGATGGGCACTGGTATGTGGCATTGATGGGCACTGACCGGTGACACTGATGGAGCTACACTGATCATCAGTGCAGATGTTCGGTCTGAGTAATGCTGATTACCGGCTCTCCTCTCCTCCCAAGCTGCCAGGGGGAGGAGTGGACTGTCGATAACCGGCATTTCCTATTTACATGTGATCAGCTGTGATTGGATACAGCTGATTACATGACAGAGCCAAAGTCACCGGCTGTTTACAGTGATCTGTAAACCGCTGTGTCCTAGGGGCGCGCACGCGCGGTTAGAGTGGGAGGACGTCATATGACGTCCTCCCAGAACGAGAGAGCCGCTGCCCTCCTGTCATTACCTTATATGACGGGCGGGAGGAAGTTAATTGCAACTTTTAACTGGACTTTGAATTCAGTTTGTTAGTGATTTTGTAATCTAAATCTGCTAGTCCATCTAACACTCTTCTCCCCCAAGATTAACAATGCTACTGTCCAAAGGTACCCCTGTGCACTTTTATCTAGAGTTGAAGTTAGAGGTGTATCACAGGTCAGCTCACCAGGTGAAAACAGAGGGGGGAAAACACAAAAAAACAAATGCAGCCACTATATCTAATAATTGGTATACTAACATAACATTTATGGTTTTGGTTTTAATACCGCTTTAATGTAATGATTTTTGTTTATGGCAACTAAGTCTCAAAGTGTGTCTCTTTCTTCCACAGTTGGGATCATCATCTTCAGTACCCTTTACCTCTATATTCTCCCAGCTATTCATGACTGTTGTTGTCCCGCTGATCATTGGTCAGGTATGTTTATCAATATTCAAGCATCCAGATACTCCATTAACTTGAGATGCAACTGTAATGCTTAAATGATCTTTTGACCTTCACATATTTTCTGTTACTTAAGTACTGTATACAAAAAGAAGTCCACCTAAAACAGAGTAATAGTTGTTTGTGAAAGCTATTGAATACACCACAAAAGAATTATAATTGCATTTTTAGGACCACTTTATTGACATTGATCACAGTGGCTGGCAATCACATTTCTTTTGAAGCCAAAACAGTATATTTGCCATTTCTGTATACTTTGTGCTAGTTGCTGTTGCCCTGTTAAAGAATACAGGTAACTTCAATAGGAAATCCCACACCCAGGAGCAGTAGTTGAGTTGGGAGCAAATAAACATGGCTTCAAAGCAGAAGGGCCGCAGAAGTCATTCTGTTTTGGCAGTGCTGGTTTCCCTATTGCTTCTACCCAAGCCTCACGGATTTGTTCAAATTGTTCTTCATCAATTAATTTCCATATTTTATACACTGGTTATTTATGAAGATACAACACACTTTTTAATCTCATGGTTGTATTCTTTGTGATGATATGTATATACAATATATAGCAAGACCTTTTTTAATAGCAATGTAGCAAAGATAAAAAGAAGGACATGAATATGTAAAAGATACCAGTCTTAATGGAGAAGTTTTTAGTAATAATAGAGCCACATAATCTTTGTGCTAGAATGCTTAACTAATCCTTGCTTACAGTTGTTGAGCCAATAAAGAGAGAGCAGCTCTGCCTCTGGTCAATAGGCAAACAAGAGAAAATTCTTAGCTAAAATTGTGGGTGACAGATCAGATTCTGAACACATCCAAGTTATTCTCTGGAGGTGTCTAATGAACGGCCTCTTGCTCAAAGCTCTGCAGATGTCACCAGCAATGTTAGTCCAACATCATGTATTTTTAATTAGCTTTCAGATCATCAATATTAAATAGTAATCCGGGCGACATATTTGTGAGCACATCCAGAATAACAGAGTTGAGTTGCATCTCAACATTAATATGTATGTTATATTAATGATATGTTGTGATTATAAGGAATTATTTTCATCATATGATAAGGAAAGGGACACTTACTTTTATTATTGCTTCTTTTTTATGATTTTGTACATTCCCTTGCTCTTTGCAGCTATGCAGCATGAGTTTTAAGTTTGTTCTGCTTAACTTTGGGAAACAGAGATCTGATTGTTGTCAGATGTAGAGTGTTTGTTGCATTATATAGACAACATAGCTGAAGATGTATGTGTGACCAATGGTTAAAAAACAAAAGAAAGCAGGACACCATACTCAACTTCTTCTCCTCCCCCATTATTGTAAACCAGTTTGGCAGATCATCAAAAATTAAACCAACTGCTTGTTGATAAATAGGTGTTGTTAAGTGCCATGAACACGGATGTCGAAAGATTGGGATTTGTATATACTTCTCATGCTGCTCACTTCCCAGATGCCTGAGTTAAAATGATCAAAACGCCATTGCATTACATAAAGGATTCAAACCTCTTTTGATGAGTTCTTTCAAAAAGTAAGGTGTGTATGGCATCATGCTGTTTGTTACTGCAGTACCAATTGTTTTCAGTGAGAAGGAATCCCGAATAGGAACTGTGACAGCAAAAATGCATTGTGTCTACTGTGCCGTCTTGCACCCCAGTTCTTATTAGTGATACAGTATTGAAATATGCAATTGTTTTAGCATTTATTGACTATAAGTGAACTTAAAATGCTAGTTTTTGAAAGACCCTAAAGGGCATAGCCAGCTGAAGGAAATATGTTGTCTGCATTTAGGTGCAGTAAAATAAAGGGCATCCCCCTTCCAGAGCCTTTTTAGAATAAGCAGCAGAGTCTAGAGGCCTAGTGGACTAAAATCTGTTTCACCACACCAGATTATACGTTCTAATTGGTACTAGTTATTACTGAAGGCAAAATTTGATAAGCCACTGCTAATGGAAGGAGTATGGCAGTTTATTGTGCTCCCTTGGTCTTTGCTTCTATATTTAATGGATTGTCGACTGAGGGCTGGTGAATTAAGAAGACTAAAAGTAAAGTAACTATTAGCATAATACCGGTTAATTTAATCTCCATCTTGTTAACACTTCCCAAGATCTGGAATATATATCTGTCTCCTATTGCAGCCATCACATATCAAGTATGGCAGAGTAGTAGTGTCATATGGAATATATTCATTTCTCTGCATGATCCCTTGTATAACCCAGGGTAATTCCACTTTTTAGCACATCTGAGTATAGTAGTCGACCTTTGTGGCATACAGTTGTGATATCTTGAGCAATAAAGATGTTTTTTTTCTTATCAGCCCTATTAAAACTTTTTTGAATGGACTTACACTTTAACCTCCCTAGCGGTATGATTATGTCAGTATTATGTGCTCAAAGCGGTACATTGTTTTCAATGGAAATATGTTGTTTTTTTATTGTAGGCCTGTAATTCTTAGGAATAACTCACTGAAATCTGTTTAAATAAGAGTTCAGTAGACATCCTTGGTGCAATAAAGTTTAATAAATTAAATTATAAATTTTGAATATATTTTGGTATATTTTGAAACACGGGACTGCACAAAGTCAGGCATCGCAATCAGGACAGTGGAACCTCGTTTCCTTGTGATTTTTTTTCCGCTCTCATCTCGCCGAGAGCAACATACCACGCACATCCGTATAGGTGCTGCCTTTTTTTGGGTTGGTGGATGTGGTCCATAAAATGACATCCAGTCTGGCGTTCTGGGTTGACAACTCCCACAGCACATCGTCCGGATCTACCCACAGACACTGATAGTGTTGATGCTTGAAGTAAATGGATTCTGCAACTTTCCAGATAAAATCCGCATGAACCACAGGCTTGTCACTTTTTTTGCGAAACAGAATATAGGCATTTCACAAGCACTGTTCCAGAAGATGCTGGAAAATCTTTTTGTAGTATTTATTCTGCTGCTTTCTCATTGCTGGATAGAAAGTCATAGCTTGGTCAGCTGTTGACACCTCCCATGGTGCTGTTGTAGTCAATAACAACCTGCGTCTTCTGGATGTTTTTCCCACCTCTTGTTTGTACCATCACTGTGGAGGCATTGTGAATGGTACTCATTAGGCACACATCCTTCTTGTCCCACCATCTCAGTGCAATCATTTTGCCTTTGTGCCAGGCAACTAATTCTCTCAACTTCAGTTTTGTTTTTTGCAAACATTGATGGCAGGTTGCACCGGTTAGCCCGAACGGTTCCATAGGCATCCGTTTTGTGCTGAAGAAGAACCTCATAAAGTTCTGGAGAGGTGTAGAAATTGTCCGTCGTTACACAGTAGCCTTGGTTTAGCAGAGGCTCAATCAGTGACACGACGGAAGATATTGTCATTCCGTAGTTGCTGTACTTGGGATCAATTTGTGTTTCTTTGCCGGTGTATATCACTGTGTTCCATAGGTAGCCGGTAGAGGATTCGCACAGCAGGTAGGATTTGCCGCCAAATCGTGCTCTCTTGGATGCGATATATTGTATACAGCTGAGCCTTCCTTTGTAGGGCATTAGACTTTTATCTATACTAATGTCTCTCTCTAGCACATAGCTCTGCTGGAAATTTCTGACACTTATTTGGGAGACTTCCCAAATTTTTTTTTAGCTTGGGAGCCGGATGAGTTGTTTCATCAAAATCCTCATCGTTTGCGAAGTGCAAAAATTTCATAATAAGGGAATAGCTGTACTTCAACGACACTGTGCCAAAGAATGGCGTGGCGAGCATTTTGTTGGTGTCCAATACTACTTCTGCAGTGGTTTCCCCACAGCTCCTTGCAGAATAATTAGGCCGAGAAACAGCCAAATGTCCTCTTTGGTCCCAGGTTCCCACTTTCTGCTTCATGAAAACCTGCTGTGTGGAGCAGCTAGTTGTTGCACTGCGTACCTATTTGTCTCCGTCACGATAATTTCAATAACCTCATTGATCAGAAACAATTCTAAGTACGCCAAGGGGTGGTCACATTCAACGTGGACTTTCATGCCAGGTGCGCCGATAAACGGAAATATTGGTGGCGCTGGCGTACCGCAATCAATAGTGCACCACGTGCGCAGATCACTCACGTCAATCTCAGATTCGCTGCTGTCTTCACTGTCGGTGTGTCTGAAGACAAATCTTCACATGAGTCGCTATCACTCAATTCAAGTAGCTCCTCACTGTCTGCTAGCTCATCATAAACCACTTTGGCGCTAGCGAGACGCTTTTTGGAAGCCATGAGTGCAAAACCGTTTTTAGTCACAGAAACTGAAATACTGCACTATGGATATATCTGAGGTAAAGTTACAATGTATGCACTAGAGTAACACTTTATTTTGACACTGGTCTCTTTTTATAACTCCCTCCTCCCACAAGCCTCGCTCCCCGACGGCACAGCACAGCTGGCTCACGCTGATCACACTGATCAGCGTGAGATACCAGGGAAGGAGACGGGAGGGACGGAGGGGATGGCTGCATGTGGATCAGGACCCGGACACGGATCACAGGGACCAGGTATTTCGTTTGCGGTGACCCGAGTCTGGCTCGGGGTTACCGCTTTTGACGGCTAGATTTAACCCCGAGCCGGGCTTGGGAAAATCGCTAGGGAGGTTAACTAATATGTACAGTAGACCAGCAATAACTATTGTTCAGTGGTTCCAAATGTGTATGTTTTTTAGCAAAATTATATCTGATCTAAGATTAGGCATGTTTTCTTTTATATAATGTATCTGGAATTGTTGTTGGAATTAAAAGTGGGGGATGAGATTTATTATCAAAACCAGTGCATATAAATATTATTGGGCACTGGCCAAAATAAGAGATTACCAAATGTGCGCAGGTCAAAAAAACAGATTTAAGGTCGACCCAAAAATTACGTTGACAGCCACTGTACAGATAATGTGGATAATCTATGCATTTGAACAATATAAATATATCCTAACACGCAGTCAAGCTAGCCAGCATAGTGAACTATAATTTATTTCCAACCTT